TAAATGTCACGGGAGGAAGAGGGTTGGGTGAGCTTTGAGACAGACTTAGGTAATTCATGGGAGGAAGTTTCTGAGAGGGGAATCTCGGGGGATGGGGGAGGTTTAATGGGAGCCGTAGATCTCCACCTATGAGGCCTCCAAAGGGGAGACGGAATCAAGTGGATTTAGGGAGGGGGAATGAGATTGCCAGCATGGCTTGAGGATCTGAGATCAAAACATGGGTAGATTAAGGGGGTGAGATGGGTTACTTTCTGCAGCCTAGACGATAGGGCTTACATCAGCCCTGGTTGGGGGAGGGGAAGACGGAAGGGTGGGGAGATTATGGGGCCTAGGGTTCTGGGGAAGGATAGCATGCGTGGGATGAGGAGGGTGGGATGCAATTAGGGCCCTTGGATGATGCGGGGCGACGATTGCGATGATTCCTTCTGTGCTTTCTATAGTGGACCTAATCCCCCCTTCATGGTCCCCTCTGTGCTCCCGAGAGTGGTCTCTAGGATGGAGTTCAGGGTGGGGAGAGGCGACCATCCAGGTGATGTTGCCCTCTCAATGTATGCCATTGTTCTGAGGGGATAAGCTATGAATCAAATGCTGTACTAAGCAACTGTATTGCTTCCAGTAGAAGTATCTCTGAGGATCTCCAATGCACTGAGACAACCCCCACAAGCCTCTCTGATAACTCTAAAGGTGTCAACATGCCACACATAGAAGGGGATGTGGGATGCTCAAATCCAATATCTGAGCTTACAGGATGCACCCAGGTCCTTATGACAATGGGCCAGAGAGAGGGGGCCTCCTTTGAAGTGGGGTTTACTCCAGTGCAATGCTCGGAGAGCTCTGCCTTCAGATGGAGATGAGAAGAGCACTCCACTGCTGGAAAGTTTGTGACATATTAGGTCTGGCTCGTCCCGTAGACTTTAGCACCACTTTTCGATGTCCCTGATGTCGTCTCCATGGGGTCAAAAGGGGCTCACCGGGGTGGATTGCAGTTGTTTCTCCAGAGCTATGCAATGTTGCTCCTCAAGACAAATAAGGTTTGGGTGAGGATGGGTGTAAGCAGATACGGGATAAAGATGTAGTCGATGTGGCGGGGGTACGAGGGAAGGGGAAGCTGGGGGCTTACGAATGGAAGGGGCAGGAGGTTTGAGGAGGTGATCATAGTTATGGTAAAGAGGAGGGAGCGGAGGGCAATACGGGCCGGTGTGGCGATTTGGTAGAAAGGAGGGAGTGTGGCGGGGGTATGGGGGAAGGGAAAACTGGGGGCTTGGGAATGGAAGGGGCAGGAAGTTTTGCCAGAGGTGAACATAGTTCTGTAGGGAGGAGGGAGTGGAGTGCAATAGGGGCCAGGGTGACATTTAATAATTAATATATGCATTTTTGCGCTCATGAAATAAAATTTTAGCCTCAGTTGTTACATGAATATACCCCAAGGACAATGTATTAGATGTACTGGAAAGACTTCATACATGGAAGAGTTACAATTAATACTTTAAATTTTCATCTGCAATTGGCCAAAGAAAAAGGGTGTGGTTTGTATAAGGCTGAGGCCCTAAACAATCAAAGGCGCACCTTCAAATAGTGCAGAAACATTTGCTTCAGTATTAGAGATCTTTATGATGGCCTGAAAATTTAATTTCATCTCTAATTATAAAATTTAAAGATTAAAAAATATTGTAGATCGAGCAGATTTATGAACACTTGAAAATCTTGAAAATTGACGGTCTAGATAATATATTACAAGATGCACTATTTCTAAGATCTGAGATCTATTTTCTCTCATCTCCATACATCTTGAGGTCGAGATGATCAAATTGAAGGTGTTTCAACATTGAAAAAACCTCTTCTAGTAAATCTTTAGGTGCGCCTTAATTTGATTGTTTCGGGCCTCACCCTAATATAAACCTTTTCCAAAGAACAAACCTAATAATGAGAAACTACAAGTCCAGAAATACTAAACACACATTCTCAAATTAATATTTATAACATTGTTATACAAGGGTATCTGGTATTACATTCATTTAATCAGTTATTCACATACCCTTGCGTGTTTATGCAGGATTCAAGTCTTCAGAAAAACCCAGCAGATAATTCAGGGTCAATAAATTTGGTTCTGACACTTCTGTTTGGCCTTCAAATTTGTCACAAGGAGTTGCAAAGAGTTGCCATAAACAAGAAGTTTTTTTTTTGATGAAAAAATTTTATGATCACCCATTGTACAGGCCATAAACAACAAGTTAATTCATGGGGAACAAGTTGGTCAAGAAAATGTAATCGGTCAAACAGCTTCCCTGAAGTAATATGTTAAAAAATCATCTCTCTTCTCAAAGTATAGCTTTCGAAAATGGTTTCACATAAACGTCAACACAGAAATTCTGATCTGCCATTTTGTAAGCTTGCCCGCAAGCCGGCACTTACAGTATCCTGAAAACTAGAGACTAACCTGCTCATCCATGGACTAGCTTCAAAGACCAACTCTTCCATAACGCATCCATTGTGTTGTGCTGATCAGCTCTCAGCACATCTTTGGCAACCCTGGCACCTAGTTGGATAACCCAAATTCTTCCTTGTCAGTATAGTTGTTCCAACCACAATATCACAAGTCATGAAGACCTATATTAAGAGCTGTTAATATGCTGACATTCAATGTGACATTAGGAAGAGGACCCCAACAGCCACATAGCAACAAACATGTAAATCCATGTGTCTTAGAGCAAATTTATACCAGGGATCGTCTTTGTCCTTACCTTTAGTTAGTGCATGTGTTAGATAAATGTTTAGAGAGGATTAAAACTTGATGGCTGGGGCACTTGCCTGACAACTACAAAGATCACAGTAAAGATCCGCTGAGCTTTACAGGTCTGACAAATGGTTAATTGGTGCCTGATGAGTGTTACTATTTGCATTCAAGATGCTCTTGCAGCTAGAAATCATTGAATAACAGATGCATGAATGAATTTTCACAAGAAACAAATAGCACACATTCTAAAGAGGCAAGAAACAATGAGTACAGAAAGAATGCCATCACTAAACAGAAGATATCCAAGTACAAAATGGGTAAAATTCTGGCCCAATTACAAGAAGGAACATTCTACATACAGAAGATAATGTGAAGACAAGGATCAGAAATAATATACACACATATGAATACACCAGTCCCATGGAATAACCTCTTATTTGCTTTAAAAAAATGGACTTTACTTCAGAAAGTGGAATACAATACACGCATGAAAGAACCAGTGCATCCTTGCAAAAGACCTGCCATTTTGTTCATGAGACATCAACCCCTGCAAAAGATTATTAGCACTTCAGACCCAACTCCTAGATAGTTTGATCAATTAAAAGAAATCAAGGGTTACCACCACTAACTTTTCATAAGAAATGGAAGCATACCTCTACATCATTTGAAAAATGTGTCAAGTTACAGAACTCTAACACCTGGTGATAGAAGGTACTTCTAGAGGTGCTTTGGTTAATTGAAAAAACGAAAAAGAATGAATTTAAACCCTCCTATAAAAATCCAAGAATACCCTTCGCTCTTATATTACACGTGAGCTGCTTTCATTCTCAAAAAAATATTCCGAGGTACTTTTTTCCCAGAAATCAGGTTTGCCTTCTCTTCCATATCCCAGTTCACATTTGCTACATCAGAACCCTGCCCATTGATCTCAGAAATAACTGGACTGATCATGAAGCACATTCAAGTGAGCCAGAGTCCTGGCTGCCAAAGACTTGGTAGTGCTATTCCCCCTCTGGGTAATATCCACAAGATGAATTTGAACAGAGGTGCCAAACTCTGTTCTATACTCATTCAACATAAACACCCTCTCTAAAACCCTAAGTGCCTTCTCTTGAACATTGGCTGAATCTGTGCTCAATAATCTTATCATGCCCATTATTCCATTTGCCTCCGCAATAACTTGACTGCCACTTTGTAACCGCTCCCCTTCGATTAGAGTCTCTAAAGCCCGCAAAGCTCCCTCGCGTGCACCTTCATCCGGGTCCTCCAAAACCCTAACCAGTGGCCCCACTGCTCCAGCCTCTACCAAACAAAAAGACTCTTCTACTGAGCAGATACCAGGGTGGACACGACAACCTCTTTCTGGAGGAGGTGCAAAGCACAAGAAGCCTCTCCTTCTTATCAATGGCCTGCACAAACCACCAGAACTTTGAGAGAATTGTGCAAGTGAAATTGAAGCTTGGCGTTTTGTTAAGCTGCTTCCATGCTGTAGAAGCTTCACTAGAATTGGGATTGTGTTGGCTTCAGCCACTTTTCTTTGACAATCAACATCATTTGGTGAAGTCAAGTGGCAAAGAACCCCAGCTGAATTCTCAACCAACTGAGTTTGAGGCTGGTTATTTGAATAAGCAGCATTTTCGAGGATTCTGATGATAATTGGGAGTGCCCATGAGGCTGCAAGCCATTGGGTGATCTCTGTGTTTCGCACAGGGAGGTTGGCGATGATCCCCATGGCTGCAGCTTTCTCCTCTTCATCTGCCGATGTTTGAATTATGTTTAATAGGGTTTCGAGGTCACTCTGAGCAATTTGCTCCATTTCTGAGCTATTAGTGCTGCTCTGAGACAGGCTAAAGAGCAGCTTCACTGCACTTGACCTGATTACAAGGTTCCCACTGTCGAAGACTTGAATCAGAACTTGAACAGCTCTTGCCTGTGAAATCCAACAATTAGATACAGAAATGGGCATGCATGTGCACGACCATGCCTACACACACACACACACGAAAGAGGGAAAAAAGCAAATTTTCTAAGTCGAGCCAACAACTTAAAGCTGCTCGCTGAAAAGTTGTCTCCCTTAAACACTATGCGAGTATGTACGCAATTATTCAAACATTTGTTCCCCTAGCATTTTTCAGGGAAGATTTGTTACAGGAGTAGATTAGGCAAGACTTTGGGAGTTGCAGCTGGAAACATTCTAACCATGTTTCTAAATGGTGCATTACATACATTGCCAATATACATGCACACATATATACTTACATGACTGCTAATATCTGTACATGTAAGCATATTTGTTATGCATCCCTGAAGGTGCGAGTGGCACCACAGCTGAAAATATGCCTTGAGGGATGTCTTCCAACACTTTGTATGGCACTCCCATTCTTTTGCACATTCCTGAACAAAATTGCCGATTTTCGCCCACTGGCGAACCTATGTTCTAAGAAAGTAAAAGTGTTTTGAAATTTAAATCAAAAAAGGACAAGTGGAAGATGAGAGATTATTTAGTTAGTAGTTACTTGGGTTCCGTTGATAATATTCCTTCTTGATCTGTTCATCACTATAGTTAAGCCAAAGCTTGTCTAATCGCTACAAAGGAATTAAAGGCGAAGTACAAAAAATCAACATGGTCTTTCAAGAACCACTTATGGAAACCAAAAGCTAATTGTGATGACAAAAAACCTCTAATTATCCACAAATGACAAACAATCAAATGTCAGAAAGAATCCATTTAGGTTCCAAGAATTGATGTAATGAGCACATCACTAGAAACCCTAGAAAAAACCATTACAATGTGATCTTTCAGAAATGACCAATGAATCAAAACACAGTGAGTCCGACTCAGACTTGACCAAATTACTCAAACAAATCAGGCTGCCTAGTCCAGCTTGCTGAGTCTGGAACCACAACCATGGGAACCGGCTGAGTCTCATTGCTTTCCAATATTTGGTATCTTTTTTTTTAAGTACTGAGCCAAGTTCTTGAAAGATTTGTTTTCGAGTTCAAGTTTCCTGACTCAAGCTGGGGACCTTAGCAAGCCCCAACCAGATCCTTGCCTTAAAGCACTGGAGATTACAACCCCAGATGGCCTCAACCCCTCCAATAGCTTATTTGAAATAACTACAATATCTTTTATTTTTAAACACCATGATATTTCCAAAAATAAATCAAAAACCTCAGAAATTAATGTGCTTTAACGTCCTTTTCAATTTATAACTCATCAATAATAACCAATTGAAACCATTACCAAGTGAAGAAGACTAAATTCCAACTAAAAGGATAAAAAAACGCATCAGATCACTGCAAATTTGTACCTCAATTAGCTTGTTCCTCATGTCAGTTGCTGAGGGAGGTCTGCACATTGCATGAAAAGCAGCAAGTATGCTTCCCTGTATACTAGGTCCAGTCAAGTTAACCAAAGAGAACAGCCTGAATATGTCATTATCAGACTCCAAAAACACCACTCTCTCTCCACCAGGTTCAGCCATTGTGGCAGAGACTGCAAGATTGGCAAGGGTTGCAGCTGAATGTTCCCTTAAGGTTTGTGAAGATCCACTTGGAAGCTGCAGAAGGTCTAGTAAGGGGTGCACCAACCCTTCTTTGATCATACGAATCCCATTCTTAGGCACAGTAGAGAGGTTTTGAAGAGCTCTTATGGATGCTTCCTTACAATGCATATCTACATTGGAGACCATTCCAAGGAGTGATGTGAGGGCACCTTCATCAAAGAGAGAAGATTTCTTGTGATCCACTAACTCCATTTCAGCCAAAGCTGTGGCCATTTTCGTTTTCACAGCTTCAGATCCTGCATTCCCAAAAAACATCAATGCAGTAAGTATTTGAGGGGAGAAAACCCCCTGTACATATGACATGAACACAGAGAACCCACTGAAAGGACCAACTTCTAACTCCTTGAAGATTCCTAAAGAATCTATTAAGGTTCACAAAGTCAAAGTAATTGTTTCCTGAATACTTTATCCTGTTAGTTAGCATCTCAAAGAATCATCTTCCACATGGTCCACATCAAATGAGTGAACATCCCAAAGATTCAATACTTACTCACTGAAACAGAAATTGTTTTCATTCAGAAAGCACACAATGTTAAGAATGGGCACACTTTTATAGTTTCACAGAATCTGGATGCTGCCTGGTTGCAACCCAGATATAAAGAACATGTAATTTGGTGCATTCTGAATCTTAGATTCATAATAGATTTTTGAAGCATTTCAAACAGTGATAAAATTTAAATACTTCTTTAATTTGGCCAAAAGTAAAAAAATTTGGCAAAAAACTCAGGACTTGCCCAAAATAAAAAAATCACAGATAATTTTTGCATAAAAAACGGCAAGTTCCTAGAAAGAAGTAACTAGCATATGCAAAGTTGAAACAATACTGGAATGAAATAACAGTGTACATTCCCCCGCCCCTGCGAAAACCTTAGTCCCCCAGACTACCCACATAAACATAATGAATTTATGATAACTCATATTCATTAGCATGTTCTTATATACTTCTCTCACTAAACATCTTAAAAAGAAACCAATTGAATTTGGTAAATAGTAATTGCACAATAAAAAATAACCAAACTTCCCTCAAAAAATTCAAATCTCTAAAATTTCAGGACTAAGAAAACCCACAAATATCTTAGTTTTTAGAAGGGCTTTCTGATTGCCATATATTGCTCTCACTAAACTTCTCAATGATACTTCTTTTTCATCGACATCTCACCCAAAAGAACAAGGACCATAGATCAACCAATCAGCAAAATAAGATTCCTTAAAAGAAATAACGCTACAACAGGAATTCATAAATTTGGATATCAAAATGACATAGATGTTAACGCACAATGCCATCCAACTTCCATACTAGATAAAATGCAGCGGTCATAAATTTTCCAACATATCCATTAAGAGAAGTCACATTTTAGACCTTCTTAGCATTGTATGTCAGGAAACCTGTAGCTCGAATAGTAGATTAGCAAACCTTAGCTGAAATACATGCACTAGAAAATCTTAGCTGAAAGAAAGGGATTAGCCTGGGTAGTTATATTTACCTGTGTTCCTCGATTTAGGTAGTTTCTTTATTTGAATAAGATGTATGGGATTGTGTAGGGTAATGCTTACATGAGTTGAAGTAATAAAAAAAGAAAAAAAACCATTGAACTTTTTACCCTAGTTTGTGCATGTTGCACAAGGAGGACAACCCTCCCAAAGAAGATCAACCATTGCGTTTCTTTTCTTTTCTTTTGGTTGCTGGGTATGACTTGGCTTTGTGAGATCATATCATTTGGCATCAAAGCATCGACCCTGGTGTGCCCAAAGCTGGTCAGAAGGCTTTGGATAAGCAGGGGATGGAACAAAAAATGGAAAAGCTCGAAGGACAGGTACATCAACACTCAGACTGCTGCATGAGATACACAAGACCCTCGCCGCTAAGTCTTCAATATGAGCGGTTTAGCATCTTCAATACCAAACTTGCAGAGGAATGGTCGATCAATCAGGTCAGGAGGACCAAGGTAGACATGTCCCATGGAGGGACATTTTGCACTGGAGAGGGTGGAGCCCCGATCAAAACCTGGTATACATGTTTAGATTTTCATGAGTTTGGTGGTGATGATCCAACTGGGTGGATTTATCGCGTGGAGCAATTCTTCAAGTTTAGAGACATACAGAAGGAACAAAAGCTTCTCCTAGCATCTTTCCACTTGGAAAGAGATGCAGTGCAGATATTGCAACACTGACATGGGCAGATATTGGTAAAGCATTATGTGTTTGTTTCGGACCCATGGACTACAAAGAGTTCGATGTAGCCCTCTTTAAATTACAGTGGATGGGAACCATTCGAGAATATTTTTGAGAGGCTACCAAATCGGGTGGAGGGTGGACAGGAAAAGGATTTAATCAGGAGCTTTATCGGGGCCTAAAGGAAGAAATAGGGACCGTGGTCCAAATGTTCCAGCCCACAACCTTGACAGACATGATCAGTCTTACACGTGTGCAAGCAGAAAAACCACAACTCATTAGGTGTAGAGGAAAAAACCAAGTTAACTGGCACGAGGCTATTGTACCCTTGCAGACAACTTCTAACACAGGAACCCCTGCGACTAAGAAACTGGCCTGGGCCGAGATGGAGTGCAGAGACAATGGTCTCTACTATGAGATGGAGTGTAGTGACAATGGTCTCTACTATAATTATGACAAAAATTTCGAGCTGGGCCACAGATGTAAGTCCCAACAGTTATTTATGCTAGATGGTGATGATGACTGGAGGGCGGATGATCAAGAGGGATAATAAGCGAGCGCTTCCCAGATTTCTGACCTCAAGGTTGATTTGAAGGAGGGTGGAATGTTAGGAAACCCGTCGTTGGAGGATTAGGAAACCTTAAATAAGGGATTAGGAAATATTAGCTGAAATAAAGGGATTACCTTGGGTAGTTATGGTTACCTAAATATCTGGGGAGTGCCTTGATTTAGGTAGTTTCTTTACTTGAATAAGATTGTATGGAATTGTGTTGGGTAATGCCTTTATCTATAAAGGTGAGTTGAAGTAATGAAAAAGAAAAAACCATTGAAATTTTACCCCAATGTGTGCACGTCGCACAAGGAGGACAATCCCTCTCAAAAAGGATCAAGCATTGCTTTGTTTTCTGGTCTTTTAGTTTCCAGGTACGACCTGACTTACCGATATCGTATCATTGTATTATTCTGGTTGGCATAAGACCTTGTTACCATAAATAGGTGGAATCTAAAACATATGGAAAATTCAGCTATTATAGTGAATAATTAACTGCTTGAACATTTCTTTTTCTTTTTGATAGTTCCCCATTCTATGTAAATAACTTCTAGGTAAACAGCTAAGTTTCCCAGGATGCACCTTTTACATACAGCTATTTCCGACTTAAATGGCAAACCGCAGTCAAGAATCAAAGTGTGTGAATGGACTTATTATGGACAAGAGAGACCTATATTTACAAGAATATCTCAACAAAATCTTTATTAAAATAAGATGGTCCAAACAAATCTGAAAATAGCAAGACAAGAGAGCACACCAGAATGTAGGCACCGCAATAAGGGTTTGAAATAGTTTGTCTTTGCCATCTGTACTACATTCTCATCAACCGAAGAAAGATTGTCCAAAAGCTTACACGCATCTTCTGCAGCTTGAGAGCTCTCATCATTTAACATGTTGACCAAGAGGAATATGCATCCCTTTACACTTGCAATCCGGTTATGAACTGCATCATTCTCCGATAGTTCCAAAAGCAAAGAAACAGCTAAAATGCGTTCCCCAACATTCCTAGAAAGTGAACGAACTATATCCTCAATGGCATGATCCACCTCTGCTATTCTCTCCTGTTACACTCAATAATATCGATTAATTCACGAAATCCTAAATTCTAGACAAATCGCTCCAACAAAGTGCTCATAAACAGTGCATACCGTATAGCTATGATTTCAGATAGACAATACATGAAAATGGATACTTATCTGGGCCAATACTTTGTTTTAGAAAACAAACACTACCAAAAATAGATGGCTTTACTGTGTCCATAGTCATTTATATTTACAACAAAAAGCCCTTTGGTTTCATGTAAATAAAACCGCAGTTTCAAATTTCTGTGATTACGCTTTAGTTTCAATGGCTTCTAGAAATCGAAGTCCAGGTAATGTCTATGCGACTATCTTTAGGACAAAAACTGAATAAAAAAACAAATTACAAAAGGACAGTAAAAGTACCAACAAAAATATACCAAAAAAGTTTCAGAGAAACGACCGAAATATTTTGTTAACTAGAAAAAAAATGATTTTCATGAAACCCAGTAGCAGCACTCACCCTGGTGTCATAGCTGTCCTTTGCCAAGCAGCAGAGTATGGTCAAAGCCTGCTTCCTGATTAACTTCTTATTGTTACCAGACCTGTTCCTGCCAAGAAACCTTAGAAGGAGAGGTATGTAATCCTCCATCACAATCCATTCCCGATGCACATCTCTCTCTTCACAAAGAGAATGCAGCTCCAATAGAGTATCCAATACTTCTTGCTCGTCATGAGAACCAAGCTTGGGTTTCATAGAGGCAATTGTGATCATGGTGTTCCGATCCTTCCATTCCTCGATAGATTTCCTTAAGGTAATATTTGGTCTGAGCTCACCAGTAACTGGGGTCTTGGTAACAGGGCAAATCTTATTCTCAGTAGCAAACCACTTCTCTATGGCGCTTCTCTCGAAAGTTTGACCTGATGAAATCTCAACAGGGTCCACCATAACATCTTGGGTTATTGGGCAATAAAATGGTTGAAGGGGTTCTAAGAGCTGATTTCCCAAAGACTTTCTCTTGTTATGATATTTACTGGCCCTCTCCTTTGGAGAAGAGGCAACATCGGCCCACTCGAGCAAAGCAATGATTTGCTCCATTTGAATGGCTTCTGCCCTGTTTTTTCTCAATTGGGCATCAGTCATTTCACTCTTAAATTCATCGAATTCCTTCTTAATGGCTGACCTATCACTTGGAACACCAACTGCCTCAGCAATCTGAATAAGCAAGTCATTTGCATATGATCTATTGGCACTACGTTCCCTTATTCCTGCGTCAATACTCTCCAGAACTTTTTCCTCTTTAACAGTTGCCTTAAACTCAGCAGTCAACATTTTGTCACATAGCTCCCCAATCTCATCATGGGTTCTTGAGGAGATCTCCAGCAAAGCCAAGGGAATGAGGCTAAGGGCTCGACCAATCTCTCTAGTTGTGTCTTGGATTTGCTTAACTATTTTCTTACAATTGATTAAGAGATAAAACCTATTTCTCTTAGAGCATTCTGAGATGAGATGATTAGCAATCTTGACCTCTCTACAGAGAATCTCTATTGCATTGCTCACACTCTCGGATTGTGAAAGGTTTTTATGCATCAGTTCTTTTAAGACTGGAACAACCTTTTCCAGGTAACTTGAGAGCTCAGAAAAGCTCTTCTGCTCTATGACCACATCATTGGCACTTCGCAATGTCCCTACTATCTCATCTACTACCTTAGACAGGGCCTCGGATGCAGGAACAAGAGATGCTTCTAAAATTGCATTCCCCGACATCTTAAGAGCAACTCGTGGAAACAGATCGAGTACCAATTTCTAGGGCTATATCAAGGAACTATGGCCAAGATGACACTTTTTTCTTTCTAGAGAGATTTCCAATGACTGTAGCCACATTGCAGATTAACACACTCCATAATGCAAGACCTTGAAGATTTACAGCAAATCTGGTCATTCATTTTAAGCAGTGATCTTTTCTGTTCACGATTTCTCTAAATTTGAGCCTCTTTAGATGAGAATTAAGTCAGACGATAAGTTTGCAAGGGTTTCTTTCCTTTGAGAGCTCAAATAAGGCAATGTAAATAATGAAACCACTAAATCATGCAAAACAAGATCCAATTTATCCAAAATCTTCTAATAAAAGGTGAACAATCACTCTTTCTTGACCTGTATTGCAGGTACACAGGAGTGAAACACCTAAAATTTCTGGAATGGAATTCTACCAAAGAAAAATTTTCAATAAATACACCACATACTCTCTTCCTTGAATGAGTCCATGGCAACATCAGACTAAAACAAGGCAGTCACTCATCCTGCCAAATTCGTCAAAGATAGCTGGATATCTCAGTTCTTGGACCGAAACTTACACGGAATTCAGACCGAGACATGACAGGATCCAATTACTGCCCTATGTTTGAAAAGTGAAACTAATATTACGGGTGAAATTCTCTATACTGGAAATCAGTCCATTCACAAGAAAAGCATGTAACAACATACATTTTCTCGATCATTCCTCTCTCCAAACTTGTAAGACCATCCCCTGAAACAAATGATCTTGTTATGCAGCTTCCACTTCACTCCCCCGCCAAAGATTACAGTAATTCCAAGGTAAATACCAGAAAGAACGAAAAAAAAGCCTTAACAGCAAGTTAGAGAAGGAAATCCTAACTCATTCATTTCCGAAGAATCTGTGGTCTTCGAACTCCATATATACTGCACAAACAACCCAGCAATGGAGAATTCAGTTTCAGCAAGCTAGGGTTTGCTCATCTCAAGAGGCTCTGGAGAAATTCAACTGAGAAATGAAATTCAACTTGAAAATTGAAATTCAAATTGAAAATTAAATAAAAAACTCTTCATTTTTCATCACGATGACCAAAATTCGCCACCCCAGTCCAAAACGAACCGAGAGAAAGAAGAAAACAATAATCCAATCAATATACACACTGTAGGATAAAAACAGAGTGTTTCGAGTTTCATTAGACTTGACTAGGTTTTATTTGAGGTGGTGCGAGAGCGATGAATTACAATTTTACCCCTGTGTCCTCTTTTGGTATTTCGAGATTTTGGTATTTTGCAAGTGGGTTTCTTCCCCTTTTACTCGGCAGGTGCTTGAGAGAATAATTACTAAAATACCCCTTGACTTGGTTTGATTCTACCAAAATACTCCTTGACTTGGATTGACTCCGTGGCCGGCGCCCCGGCATAAAAACAGAGAACCGACACGAACACGAACAATGAAACACAATTTCGGGACGGAACCAAAATTTCGGGACGGGACCAAAGTTTCGGCGGGAATTTAGATGGAAAATTCGTAGAACTTGTGAGTGGTATGCCGGACCACCAAATTCACTTGCTCTACGCCGCAAAACATGGATTTCTTTGAGCTGAAATTTCTCGAGCCATTTTCGATTCACCTTTGATCCTACGTGATTCACCTTGTGAGCCCAGTGAGTAATTAAAAGAAATAAAAATAAAATCACCTTTTAATATCCTCGATTTATTCTTCGATCAATTGGATGGTTTGGTGATCGAACATTTTTTCCTTGTTAAATTTTGAGATTTCGGACTAATTCGTTTTTAATTGCGTACTACTGTGTTTCAAATGTAAAGGCGAACATACAGTCATGGTTGCCAACGGACCAGACCAACCGGTTTGATGGTTGGTCAGTGCCTTAGCCAGTTGGATCTAAAGAAGAAATTTAGTTTGATCGAAAACTGATTGAAATCATTGTTCGACTGATTTTGGCCAGTCGAACCATACAGTTATGACCAATTCAACCAGCTAAACAAATTTGAGAAATTTTTTTCTAATTTGAAACATGTCTTTAAAATATTATGCTAAATTATGTATGAACCCAAAATAATTACCTAAATTACAAAATGATCTGATTTAGGCAAAAATTACAATGAAAATCAGTCAACCCGCACTTTTTATTTTTTTAAAATTGTCCCTCGGTCCGAGGATTCTATCCTCAAACTATATTTAATATTTATTTTTATTTTTTTTCATTAGTAGGGCAATCTCCCAAGTTATAGGGGCAACATCAAGGCAGTCTAAGGTTAAAATCCTCGGACCGCCTTGCGAACACAGAAAAGCCCCAATAGAGTGGTCCGAGGCCCCTATCCTCGGATTGTTGTTTTTCTTAAAAAACAAGAAATAAAATGCAGTCTGAGGATGGGGAACTTGAACCATGTTGGAGCTGAGTTTTGCTCAATCCAAAAAGCGGTCTAACGTCTTCATCCTCATACTATTGTTTTTCTAATAAAAATAAAAATAAAAATAACGTAAAGCGTGATCTGAGGGATGGGGACCTTGGACTGATGCTTTTTTCAAAAAAATAAAAAGAGTTGTCTGAGGATGGGGACTAGGTGCCGCTCAACAACTGAGGCCTGCTTAGTCCAAAGGACGGTCCGGCTAGGCACCGCCCCTAAAGCTTGAGGCACTTTTGGAAAAAATAAAAAATATAGGTTGATAGACCTTCTACGTAATTTTCACCCAAAATTATCCCATTTTTAGGTAAATTTTTCGGGTATGTATGTAAATCACTCAAAATATTACGATATTTTTTATATTTTAAAAACCTAAAAGATGTGGAGTATATTGTCCATTTACTTCCTCGGATGAAACCCCACTTAAGATTAGTTTTAGGAACCCAAATTTTAACCTCTTTAACAATTAACCTCAATATAAAAAATAAAAATAAAAAAATCTAGTTACACCCTCTAAACACTTAAAAAAATATTGCCTCCTAGAAAACTCAAATTTCAAAAAACAAAAATTGAGCATAATCATCACTCTTTAAAGTGGTTATCAATATTTCAGGTTGAAAAGATCTCCCCAAGTAGATCATCTTACTGATGCAGTAAAAGTAAACTATGTTCCCGAAGGAGCATAGCATAGATGCTCGGTAAAAATTTTGGTACCATGGGATTGTACAGTATGAAACCATTTACTTTTGTTACAAAAAGGTTACAAATACCTTAAGCCATTCGATTTCAAATTGGACAACTTGAGTTGTGTTACAAAGTTCGAAAAAAAAAAAATTTGAATTTTGAACTTAGTCAATAACACACTTATAACCACCTGATTTAAAATCTGATAGACAATAGTGATTGTGAAATATATAAGCTCTTTGTATATTTTCCTATTTTAATTGGGCTAGATTTGTCACTGATTTAGTGGCTACTTGGATCATGATAAGTGGTTAGATTCCTCTCTTCATTTTTTTTAATAAAAAAATCTCATATTGGAGAGCACAGAGCATAGAGATGTAAAGCTCAATGCGTTGATCTCTAAAAGCCTATCTGATTTCTGGAAGGCAAATGTTTTTTGGAAATTGGAAGTACTTCGATATTGGGCATTAGGACATTAATTTTCTGAAGCTGTTAATGACTATTTGATAACTTAGGGTGGGGGTGCCTAGGAGCAAGCTAGTGAGAGGAAGAGGCTGGGGCGAGTGATATTGCTGATGGGCTAGCCAATGATGTTGTTGATAGGCTAGTTAAATATGGTGGTGTTTCTCTTCCCTTTTTGCAAGTTTGTAACGATTCGATATAATTTTTGTAATCTCATGCTTTTGAAGCATTGCTTTAATATAAGTTCATAACATTTGTCAAAAAAAAAAAAAAAAAACTGTGAAAAGTTTGTGCGGAGACTGAGAGGAGTTAGGGTGGTGCAGAGGCAAGGAGGAGCTAGGGTAAATGGTCGAATGTGAACCTCAGGTGTCCTTCCCAAAGTTTGACTACAAGGTCGACAACGAAGTCAAACCTTATCATGTTGAACTGGAAAAAAAGAAGAGAGTTCTAACACTCAAACTGATTCCTGGATGTTTCAGTTCCTCCTAAACAAATACGCCATAAAATTCAAGAATAGTTGTTTCACTCTGTGTTTTTATGGGCACTTTCGAAGTAAATTCATATAATACATTGGTAAACGTAATAAATAACCTTCGTGAGAGTGGACTTTTTTTATTCTTAGGTAGACAAAATTGTTTGAGGAATCTTAAACATTTCCATGCATGGGTTGACATTTTTAGTCCATGGAACTTTTGCTTTTTGGTCATTTTTTAGAATAAGGCTTTGAAATATACTAGAAAACAAGATAAATTGTTTGAGAAATCTAAAACATTTCCATGAAAGGGTTGACATTTTTAGTCGATGAAACTTTTCTTTTTGGCGTTTTTGAGTAGGATGAAGTTTCTATAAGTCCTAAGCTTTATGAAAACAAAAGAAACTTTCACCACAAATTCTCGTCCTGCGGAGGAAATCTCCATGATGGTTTTAAAATCAATTTTCAACACTAACAATAAAAATTGAAACTCAAAAAATGATATAAATCTTGCGAATCTGTGAACACTTAGTTTTTAGGGCGAAATCTACGGTCTAGATAATCGGTTAAAATATACACTATTTTTAGAGCTTGAAATACTTTTTTTTTTTCACAACCATAATATTCAAGCTGAGATGATCGATATAAGGGTTTTTCGATGCTTAAATTACAATTTTCGATGAATTATGAGGTGAGGTTTTACTTAACTGCAGCCCTATCAAACAATTTTCCTTTCTGAGTCATAGGCTTTGAACCTTGGTTTGGTCCAGGCACTACACAGAGCTTGAACCCCAAAGAACAAGAACATAAATGCTATTGTTAACTTAGACAAAGAGTGAGATTGATAGAAGACAAAAGCGATGACTTAGGACATTTAACTAAGCGCACAAATGAAATAGCCTTGGGCATATTTTTTTCTCTTTTGAATAAGGAAAAGTATATAAAAAGACCATTTATTTTTGGTATAAGGAGGTCCTAATCATTTAGTTCATTAAATTTTAAATTGGGTGAGTTGTTAAGAGTGTCATTGACTAGTCTCAAAATTCGAAACAAAAAATTTGAACTTTATAGCACAATCCAAACCATCCAATTTGACATCTAATGGCTAAGAATAATTGTGACCTCAATATCTGATAGTATGCAATCCCTTAAATAATTTGTTTGGTAGGCATGCTTAGTCCATTTCATGGAGAGAGTGGCCATCTTGATTTTAGCAAGGCAAACCTCTGTTTTTTTTTTTTCAGCAAGGTAATTTTGCCACTGATTTATCACTTCACAAACTTTAAGAAATTATTTGAAAAAATTAAAAATAGAAATGTAAAAAGGAAATGAAAACCTCAACTATCTGACTCCAATTCTAGTCTAGCAAGATAGTGTTTCTGTTGTGATTGTTTTGTGGAGTATCCAAATAATACATGAATATGTTTAGTAACAGTTTATGGACACAATAAAATAAAATGGGAAGGTTTTCAATTCAACATAAAAAAAAAATTGCTAGTTTTTTAAATGAGAAGAACAAGCTTGCCCTTGATCTTTTTCAGACAGAGAAACTAATTCCTTGAATTTTTATATTTAATTCGAAAATGCTCATTTTCTTTTTATTTTGGTATTGAAAATGCTCATTTTCATTTCATTTTTATATAATTTCAAAATGCTCATTTTCATTTTATTTTGGTATAAGGAGCTCCTCCCACAAGAGCATATTGTCCACTTGGTCCCCGAGGTAATACTCCCACTTAAGAGGATTTGTGTGATATAGAATTACCTTAGAAACATTAAATGAATCATCTATATATCTTTACATACGAAAACGTTTACATCAAGTTGAGGCCCTAAATAATCAAACTAAGGTTCATACCAAAAACTCACTAGAAGAAGTTGTGTTTTATGCCGAAATACCCTAAAATCCGATCATCTCACCCCTGAGATACATGGACGGAAATAACATGGACTTCAAGTCTTGAAAATAGTCCATCTTGTAATATATTATCATATTGTCAGTTTTTTAAGGTATTCATATATCTGTTTGATCTACACTATTTTTTAAGCTTTAAATTTATAATTAGAGATGAAATTAAATTTTTAGGCCATTGTAAATATTTTTTATACCGAAATG